CTAGGTAGCTGGAAGCTGTGGAGCAGAACACAGGAGGGAGCTAAAAGACAATGCACAACAAAAGATTTCCAGTAAAGTGCTTGGCTAATACTTGGCTGCACGCCTATTGGGTAGTATCCCCCCAAGCCAGGAAAGCAATGGAAGTCTAGGAGCCAGATCAGGTGGCACTGTAGTAGACTGTTAAGTAAAGCCGTCTAAAGGGTAACTATTCAATACTACCGCTAACTTTTAGCCCAAGCAAAGTCTGTAAGAAAGCTTAAAGGCCAGTCTCAAAAGGCACAGGGTCACAATCATTCAGGCAAATAAGCTTTGGAACTTCATGAAACCAAACACACTGTAGAATGACAAAATCCAGCACTCAATGACATAAAACATCTACCAACCTAATCAAAAATTACCAGGTATGAAAGAAGCAAAAACCAGGGTTCATGCCAGGAAAAAAATAAACCAATCAAAACATACCACCAATTGACAAGGATGGCAGAACAACAAATCATAAAACAGAGACACATCTCAGAAAGATGCTCACTGATGTAAAGGATAATCTGGGCACACCGAGGGATAAAGAGATGCTCTTAAAGGTCCTCATGGGTTGGGGTGGGAGCACAAGCTATAATCTCAGAACTCAGAGGCAAGAGAGGGGCTGGAGCCTGATGAATGCATCTGTGAACAACCACATCTAACCTGCATTGGGAACCACACAAATACGCCCACCAGCACCTCTATTCAAAAGTGTGCTGACCCAGTGTAACAGGGTGGTGTTTAAAGTTATAGAGATTGCAGTGGAAAAAAAAATGCTAAAATTTCTATTACTCTACACATGACCAACTATTTAAGATATCCTAAACATGACCCTCTGCTGACTGGAATGTCTTCAAGTACAAATCCCTTCAGACCCCAGGAAGTCTGCTCCTTTTTGTGGGTATTCCAGAGAACTAGCTCTCAAGTCTGTACAGAAGCTCCTCCAGCACGTGCCGTACTGCACAGTCTGTACTTGTCAGTCCGCAATGTCCCACTCTCTGAGCTTTCATGGATTTCTGCTTCACAAGGTTTAACTATTTTATATACACTGGCTGTAACATACAATAAAACAGTATACAAATAATAATAATAAAAAAAAGATATCCTAAACAAGCCAGGTGATGATTTAATCCCAGCACTCAAAAGGCACAGGCAGAAGGATCTCTAAATTCGGGGCGAGCCTGGCTACAGAGCAGTTCCAGGACAGTCAGGACTATACAGATAAACCGTCTGGAAAAACATAAACAAACAAAAATATCCTAAACAATCTTCAAGAGGCATCAACAGGTAAAAATGCTTGCTATGCAAGCCAGAAGTTTGACTCCTGGGGGAATCCCAGGAATCTCCTCCTGGAAGGGGAGAACCGACCCTGCTAACGTCTGGTTCAAGTCAGGAGGCCATCACCAGGAAGAACCTAAAATCAAGAACGACCATGTCTAGGCCACAATATTAGAAGCTCTGTTATAGTTAGCGTGGTTATAATAACCAATGCCATGACTGTTCACAGACAATGACGAGCAAACACTCAAACTTTTCTAGTAGAAACAGCAACAAGAAAAGGTCTTACTTCTGCAATCTTACCAGATTTCCTTTTTTCAGACAATTTGTTTGGTGTCTTGAAATCATTAATTCCTTCCATTGTAGCAATCACTTTAGGTCCTATAATGAAAACAAGCTAAGTTATAAAGCAGCTATAAAGAACAACACTTAGGAGACTCCCATAACATCACTTTATCATGGAAATATAGAATTTGAGAACTGAAAATAACCTCAGCAAATACTTCATCCAATTTTATTTACAATGGTAAAATTGAAACTCAGAGATACAATTACTTACTCATGTAATACTCATACTATCAGTGATTAGGGGTTGTGGTTTTAACTATAAACTGTATACTTACAGGCCAGAGATAAAGCTCAGAAGGAAAAGGCACTTGCTACCAAGCCTGCCAACTTGAATTCAATTCCTGAAACCCAAATAGTACAGAAAACCAATTCCCACAAGATGTCTTCTGACCTCCACACACACTGCGGCACACACTTGCTCACACACATATTCAACATATATGTGTGTGTGTATAATTTTTTACATAAAAAATTTAATTACATTTATTTGCATATATATGTGTATGGTTTTTTCAAGATAGGGTTTCTCTGTGTAGTCCTAGCTGTCCTGGAACTTGCTCTGTAGACCAGGCTGTCCTTGAACTCACAGAGAACTGCCTGTCTCTACCTCCCCAGTGCTGGGATTAAAGGCATGTGCCACCACCATCTGGTTTAAAAAAAAAAAAAAAGAAAGAAAAACTTTAAAAATACAAACTTGAATTTAAAAAAGTACCTAGTTCAAAAAAATAAACAAGGGCTGGGAATGTAGTTCAGTGGAAGAGCGTTAGCCTAGCATGCACATGGCCATGAGTTCCATCCCCAGTGCCAAAACAAAGGTAAATAGTACATTTTCCTCTCACACTTCTCAGAAGTTACAAACAGGTCTCGTTTTCCTTTAAGACAAGTCTATATGTATACCTCTAATACCAGCACTTGGAGGCTAAAACCAGCTTGGACAACAGTGAGACCCTGCCTCAACCAAAACAAAAGTAGAAAACTGCATCCAAACAGCAACACTCCCAACAGTCCAGACAGACAAGAGAAGTACTCCTTAGATGCTGAGTGCACAGCCCAGTGTGGCATCCGCATACAAAGGAACGAAGTACTGCTATGTACAACACAAATGAACCAAGAAAACATGCTAAGTGAACAAAACCAGATATAGAAAGCCATGCATAGGCTTCCATTAATGCTGCATGACTAAAGCTGTCCAGAAAATGTCATTATTTCCCGACGACTTAACTGTGGCTATGGGGGAAAAAAAAGGTTTAAAAAAATGAGGGGGTGGGAGTGGAAGGCTTTCTAGATTGAACAAATGAAAAAAAAAGAGGGTATGGGATATTGGGAGCTCATTTGTAAATGCTTTATTAGATCTTGGAGGAAAGGTCAAACAGGTAGCCAAATATAGATCTTGAACAAAGCTGAAGCATGATTTTTGTGGGTTTATCAACAGAGATTGGGTATCACTGATTTCCTAGATGAGAATGGGTGCAACCCTTAGCACCCAGCTCGGGAAACAGAGGAAACAAATCGGCCTGAAGAATACAAGCCATGTGCAAATTTCTTGGCAAAGAGAATACCAATGTCTATGTTCCTGCAGCTTGAAGACCGGATAACACAGATGCATCATGTTTTTAAAAGATTAAAACACCAGCCGGGCGGTGGTGGTGCACGCCTTTAATCCCAGCACTCGGGAGGCAGAGGCAGGCAGATCCATGTGAGTTGAGGCCAGCCTGGGCTACAGAACGAGTTCCAGTACAGGTTCCAAAGATAAACAGAGAAAGAAACCCTGTCTTAAGAAAACCAAACAAACAAACAAAGGTACTGAGATCACAAGTGTACACCATGCTTGGTTAATCTGATAACTGCTTTTAACATTTTATTTTTCATTATGTAGCTGTGTGTGGCAAGGGGTTGGGTGGTATAGGTACAGCAATACAGGTACCTGAGGTGAAGGATGAAATTACAGGAACCTGTTGGGTCACTCCTCACCGGTGTTGGAAACCAGGTCAGCGGCTGACCTGTCCCCCAAGAGCAGTGCGGGCTCTAATTATTAAATCAACTCTCCAGCGCCCCTACCCATAACTTTATAATATTGTTTAACAGCGCTTGACTTTTCAAAAGTATTCTTTTATTAGGATATGCTAACTCTACAAGGTTATGGGTTCCACTATGGATTTTCATGTATGTATGTGAATATATTTTTCAAAAAAAAAATCAATATCCCCAGTGTAAGGAACTATTCACAGTCAAATTCCTGCCCTTTCTTCAGTCTCCACTCCCCAGTGCACTCTTTTGGTCCTGAGGAAGGAATCCAGGGCTGCATGTAACCAATGGGTTACTGCCCCTGGTCACATCCCTACCCTTTCTACTATGGCCTTAGCTTAAAAATCAGAAGCATTAGCTGAGAGGTGCTTCCCCGTCTCCAAAGAGAAGGCGGTGATTTCCTCCCTGAACCCCCAAACTCCCCGCGACCCAGGAGCTCAGGGTCAGATTCTGTGCGATGGTTCCAAGGGGGTTCCCCTATTCTCCTTAGTCCGCTGTCTTTTCCTGGGTCCACCCTCGATCCTCCCCCTGGCCGCCCGCTGCGTACCCACAGTCAGCTGTCCTTCCCGGCCGAGCTCTCCGGCCGCTGTTCTCTGGGTCCCGGGTCCTCCCCTCGCCGCTGTCTTCCTCCCGTCCGCTGTCCTCACTCGAGTCCACCACGCTTTCCCTTACCACAGTCACACCCTCGGGTGAAAAGGGAAAAGTGACGAGGTGGCTCAAGGCCGGGTGAGTACCTAGTCCGGGAGGTGCAGGAACTCGCTCTAACCGCCGCAGCGTTCAGGCGCGCGCGTTTTCAAAGGTCGCGCCGCGCCGGCTGGCACTAGGTCAGACACGCCAGCTGGCCAAAGCTGTCGGGACAGCTGCTCCGGGAAGTGCAGGAACAGTTACTGGAGCTCCAGTAACCGCCGCCGCCGCCGCCTTCGGGACGCGCGCACTTTCAAAGATCCCGCCGCCGACTACGGGGCGGCACTAGGGTCAGAACTCCCACGTTCGTTCGTACAATCCTTCTTGCTCTGCTTGGGCTTCCAGGTTTGGCTGATGCCAAAGAATAGGGACCTTCCCGAGGAATGGCAGGAAAGGTTATATAGGAAGTATTCAGGCCTTCGGAAGAATAGATGATGGCCCAAACCCCAAAACGTGTGCCTATTTTGAAGGCAAATCTACCCAAACAAACACTGCTCTGAATATCCATTAGGTAGGATGTTTTATTGCAGATTTTTGTGACCTTAAAATAACTAGAAATATGTAGAGTTTATTATTTGGAGCTGAGAATGAAAATTAAATATTTAGAAATTTTTTTTTTAACTGTGTATGTTTTTGCCACCCACATGTGGAGGTCAGAGGACAGGCTATAGAAACTGGATCTCTCCTCTTCAGATTCCTGCTGAAGGTCCAAACCCTCGCCCCCCTCATCCCCTACCCCCGACCCTTAGCAGACATAACAGGCTTCAAAAGACCCAGCAAGATGCAGACCCCTGACTCCGGAGGCTGTACTGAGCCCTACCTTGTTCTAGTTACGGGGAAGAAGCTGCCAGATAATTTATGGTAAAGAACCAATCAGAAGTTAGCTGGCACGCTCTGGCCATGATTTTACTGATAACGGTGGAATGAAGTAACTGCTCCCACTGTATGGCCTCCAGGTATAGCAACCTTTCTGCAGCTGACAGTTTCCATAAATACCCCCACCCCACTGCAGCCAGGGTCTCTCCTGTTCCACTGATGCATTGGACAGACTAGAGGCCTGGGTTCAAAGGTCATAATTAAAAAATAATCTTTGCTTTGCTTTTGCATCGGATCTGTTATGTCCGAAATTCAGAATCGGAATCACTACTACCAGACCAACTCCAATGCAAGAACCAAGAGTCTTTATTGTGAGTTCACTTGGGTTCCTCTGTCCATCCAAAGCAGCACGTGGCAACACCCCAAAATAAGCAAGAACGGTGCAGGAAAGAGATGCCGAGTTGAACAAAGGGGTTTATATAGGGGAAGAGTCTTGGGGGAGACTTCCAAACCTCTAGGCTTGTGATTGGCTGCCCCCTAGTGGGGTGAGGGGAATTCCAGACTTCCAGGCTTGGGATTGGCTGACCCATATGATGTAAGGGGCCTTTCAGGCCCGAGGAAAATGCCGAGCCTTTAGGGGCTCAGGGATTGGTCAGTTTTCCTTGCTCAGGGATTGGCTGATTTTGTGTCAGGGGTAGATGTTAGTCTTCTGCTGTCACTTTAACAACACTGTCACTCCAACAGCAAGTTGGCTCCTAGCAAGCACTCTGTTTCCTCCGAGAAGACATAAGACAAACCATCACTGACCACCGTCCATCTGCAGTTTGCTTCGACTGCCAAGCGCTGACCATTGGGCAAAAAACTGCCTTTCACCTAAACTGGAGACCTCCAAATGTGGACAAAATCACTGGAATCGACAGTCTAGCTGCCCAGGGTCAAGGTAGGCCTGTCTTCCTAAAGATTCCTTAGTCCACAGGTTCTTCAAAAGCCTGACTGGCTCTGCGCTAAACAACAAAGGTCAAATGCAACCTTCAGCGACCAGGGAGGACCAAAGAGTAGCTCTGGGTGCCAACCAAGTAAGTTCTCTGTCATTTTTTAATCAGTAACTCAAATAAAATCTTATCCTTCTCAAAGATCTCTGACAGTCTGATAGCTAAGAGGTTTTGCCAGGTTGTCTCACCAAATAAAAATACTTTTCATTATAATTTCAGTTTTTACAAACCCAAGAAGTTCTTAATACAATATATATATGTCTAAAACTTCTGTTTTTCTTATAAGTTCCAGGGAGCCAATTTAAAAAACCCATCATAAACAGGTCAGATACAAACCTCTCAATTCCCTGGTCCTAAAAATTTTTTCTCAATTTAACTTTGTCCTCTGTTCTGACCAGGTACAAGAAACACCATACATTTCCATGCCACAGACACCTGACTTGTCGGGAGCAGAGACCAACTATGCCAAGATGTGACCAGCACACAGCCTTCTCTCGGATCCCCCACAACCCCCCCCAAAGACGACACCCACAAATCAGCCGGAAGCAGCTTGAGAATTCACCGCCCCAATTCCTTCAACCTGTAATGTCTAACCTTCTACTTTTTATTATAAAAAGGATCCGGGAAGGTTAGTCTTTAAGAACTAACTACGCCCACCCCAGCCACTTCTGACCCCACCTCCCCTCGCTGCCATCTTCTCTCTCGTGTGTGTGTGTGTGTGTGTGTGTGTGTGCGTGTGTGTGTGTGTGTGTGTGCGTGCGCGCGCGCACGTGTATGTATTTGTTTCGTGTCGTATGTACGTGTGTCTTTGTTCTCTCTATGTTTGTCTATGTCTCCCTTTCTTTATGTAATAAATGTCTAGCTTTATATATAGCCTTATGTCCATTTACTCTGCCGTCCACCGCATCCAGCCGCCTGACTCTGCCGCTCGCCCGGGGACCCTGACTCCCCCGGCCGCATGGTGCTGCCACCCTGGAGATCTTGCGGGGACCCACAGCCACTAGCAGCTGCTCCGCGAGCTGCCCGGGACATCCCATCATGGTATTATTTTTAAAAAAGAACAATAGTAGAGATGGCTCCAATTCTGGGACCAAACTGTGTTTCTTTCTTTACTTCCTTTTACCTTTTTGACCCTAATTTTGGGATCAGGGCAAATATCTTTGGTGTCCTCTGAATCTAGGGGCTTAGTACATTCTTTTGGTTCTAGGATCAGGGTCTGGGGCCTTTTCTCGGGATCTTGGTTCAGGAACAAAGTGTCTCTTCCCTTGGCTCTGGTCCCATTTTCTGGGTGTGTTTCTTTCGCTCGCTTGGAGCTTGGAGCCACGCCATTCAGGATTTGTGTAGAGGCTACAGATCAGGGATTTTCTGGGGACTGGATTGTAGCACGATTACTAAAAACCCAGAAACAGACATTGGGGTTCAATCTGAAAACCAGAAAAAACAAAGCAGTCAAGCCACTAGAGAGTTCCTACCTCTAAGAAATCCTCAGATTGAAAGAGAACAACTTCCTGTCTCATCCTGGTTTATACTCCTCGCTAGTGCTGAGATTAAAGGTGTGAACCACCATCACCTGGATCTGTTTCTGCATTGATTTTGTTGTTGTTGTTGTTGCTCAGGGTGGCCTTGAACTCACAGAGATCCATCTGACTCTGTCTCCCAAATCCTGGGATTAAAGATAATGTGTCACCAGTACCTGACTTCTAGTGGCTTAGTTTTACCCTCTGGTCTTCAGGCAAGCCTTATTTATAAAACATAAACAAAATAGCACTGTTAAATTGGGAGCATATACCCCTCAGCCCCAGGCATTCAACCCAGCCCGCAGGCCTTGGAATTGCTTTGGTCTGGACTCCAAATCCCAGCACACTAGGGAGGGGTCAGGACCACTCCCATAGGGTACTTAAGCGAATGCCAAAAAGAGGAACACAAGGTCTCTTTTCCTTGCTCCTTGTGGTTGCGGTTCACAGCCTCCCGGTTTCCCCCTTGGGGCTACCGGAGAGCGCAGGACTCTCATTAAACCTGGCTATTTCTTAATCTGGTTTGTTTTAATTTGGCTTGATTGGGAATTTGCATCGTCAGAGAGCTCACATTAGGAAAAATTCCTAACAAGCACTAAAAAGGGTTTCTCAGTCTCTTGGTGATTTGGGGCGTCCAGACTCTGGGCACAACACTGTGATCTGACTGAGATGGTCAGACTCAACAGCAAGCCCTTTCCTGCCGCTGAACCATTTCACTGACCCAGTTTTGCTAATTCTTGTAATTGCCACACTCTACTCAGAGCACCTACCGTGTGCGGGTGTCTGGACTTGAATGCCCACTGTGTAACACAGTCTACGACATTCACTACAAGAGAAAAGGATTGCGATTATTAGAACGTCTATGGGGCTCAAGGACGGTGTGATACCCTATAAAAGAAAACACAGAACATAATACAAGGAACACTGAGATGCCTCCCCCACAAGAACACTCAGTGCTGCTCTGTGACCTCTTCAATAGTCTGGAGAAATTCAACCCTCAATCTGAGCCCAGACAGATGGGACAGCTTCTTTACCAAGACAGTGTCTCACAATGGCATGACTCATATATATGCGTTCATGTGCTTATATACATTAACACACAGTCTTGTCTAGTGACATCAGTTTTGTTACTATTTTCTAAGATTCAATTTCTCAGCATGTTTTCACTTACATATCTTTCTTTTTTTCTTTTTTTTTTTTTTTTTAGATAGATTCTTACTATGTTTCCCTGCCTGACCTGGAACTCAATATGAAGACCAGACTGACCTCAGACTCACAGAGGGTCTCCTGTGATTAAAGGCGTGTGCCACCATTAACCAAAGTAATTTTTTTTAAAAAGCTTTTATCTATTTTTATTTTACACATTTAGGTGTTTTCCCTGTGTATATGTCTGTGTGCCGTGAACATGCAGTGCCCATTGAGGCCAGAGAAGGAGGAGTCGGGTCCCCTGGCATTGGAGTTGAAAGACCTCCAGATCGGGGAGACTCTCACTCAAGTCTCGGGATTACACAACCCCCCAGGAACGCATGAGAGACTGTCCTTGCTGCAATCACACGAGGTTTATTGACCAGCACTGAGGCTGAGACTCAAATCTCACTCAGGGGAGGAGTTTGACCCCGAGTAGCTGGGAGAAGGGGTATTTAAGGGAAGAAACCACAACCCAGTAATCCAAAGGGGTTAGGGAGGCCACCATTGGAAAATTCCAAAACTACCAGTGTTCATTGAAAATTCAGAAAATACCAGTGATAATCACAAGGGGGTAACTCCCTGTTTCTCAAGATTGTAATCTAACTTTATCTTCAGCTAGTTCCTGAAACAGAGTCACTGAACCGGTTAATCTAGATTTCGGATTCTTCTTTCCCTGCTTAGATTTTTTGGCTCTATTTTTTCTGCTAGGGGGTCTGGATTTATCCAGATCTTTCAGAGTCACAGACAATTGTGAGCCACTATGGGTGCTGGCAATTGAACTCAGGTCCTCCAGAGGAGCAGCCAGTGCTCTTAGTTGCTGAGCCATCTCTTCAGCACCGTGATTTCTTTTTAAAGTGGGGAAAACTTTTCTGGGTTTAGAACTACTTGACATCATTCAAGCGAGATAACTTTATTGTTCTTTGCCCTGTAGTATGCTAAGAACCTGTTGAAAATCAGTGCTAAGAAGAGGGTATTGTTCAGTTGGAAGCTCCAGGTTGCTCCTGCATGATCCAAAAAGCCTTCTTCCTGTCTCTCTCTCTCTCCAAACCCTGCCCTCTCAGAGAATCTCCAACAAAGAAAAGACACCACAAAGCCCAATTCTGAATTCTTGGCAACTACTGCAGCTTCCTCCCCAGTTGCCGCCAGCATCCCTAGTCCCATCTGAACATTCACTTTTGATCATACCTGGACATAAACCCAGCTTATTGTGGATACGTCATCACCCCTTGCCTACAACCTATAATCTCCCTGCTTTAGTTCAGAGTGCACCTTCTCTGTGTGGGGCCCAAAACTGCTTGGCCACATTGTTGTCATGACAGACTTAATAAAAAACCAGCTGAAAAGTAGACCCCAATTTCAGTTTACTGACACCATCCAAGGGTGGCCAACATCAAAAGGCAAGCACTTGACATTCCTGTGATTAGATTAGATTACCAGATGTCCCTGAGCCCAGCACACATCTATTCCTCTTTTGCCAAGATACCCCAAGACAAATGTCAGTCAATCAGGATCCTGAACCCTGGAAATCCTCTCACCCCCAACCTGATAAACTATGATAAAAAAAAAAAATCCTACCCCATGGCTCTCTCTGCTCTCACCACTGCATCAGACAGAGACTAAGTTCAAGCTTGAAGTAAAGGCTCTTTGTTTTTGCATATAGATTCAGACTCCTTGGTGGTCTTTGTGGGACTCGGGATCTGGGTGTTACACTCCGTCCTTGGTCTCTGGAACTGGAGAACCCACCCAGGAGTTGCTCTGCTCAAGCCTGTTGTTTCAGCTTGATCAGGCTTACTGTGTTGGCAGAGAAACCTATTGAGGGGCGGGCAGAAAAACCAACTAGGTGTCATGGAGACTCGCAGGCTTCTGTCATACAGAGACCTGCTGCCCAACAATTTCAGCTATTCAGATAATAGGAAAGCCAGTCACAGACTCCTGCCCTGTGTCCACCCTTCAAAGTCAAATCCATCTGCATCTGTAACCTTCCTTAGCCTGTTTCATTGGCCTCAGGAGAAAATGTCTGGCCTCCTGCCTAAGGTGCCAAGTCAATCCATAAGCTCTGGAGACCCCTCCTTCTGTCCCACACTGCTGCCAAATCACCTGCCTCTCCTGAGTCTTTACCTTCCTCTCCTCTAAAGAGTCTCCTCTTTAGGTCCTTTAAGAAAAAATGGTAACAGTAATGACAAGCGCTTATTTCGTATTTCTGATGTGTCTGACATGGGTTCATTTGCTTTACATGTATTGATGTATTTACTCCTCACACATCTGTCGCATGGGTTGCTAGGATCAAACCTCAGTTTTCCTTTTGTGATACACATACATATGTGATTTTAAATCTAGACTCCACGTATGAAGAAAATGTGTCATTTGCCTTGCTGAATCTGATCTATGCCCTTAGCATGTGATTTCCAGGTTGGTCTGTTTTCATGATAACAGATATCATGATAAGCTTCATTTTCTCAAGTAAGGAAATTGAGGGAGAAAGAGTTAGATAATATGCCTAAGGTCAGAACTAATAATTTATGTGAATAGGATTCAAACATATGTTGAACTTAGTATTCCTTTTAAGCAAATATACTTAAAAAAAACTCTTGCATCACACACACACACATGCACACAAGCACACAAACACACCTCCATTCCCAGGGTCTTCCCATTTTACATCACTCTCTTCTAAGCATGGAAGCACAGTATCTTCTCTCACCACCCCATTTACTTATTCATCTATTTATTTATTTATTTATTTATTTATTTATCTATCTATTTGTTTGTTTGTTTGTTCGTTTATTATGTATTGAGATAGTTCTTGTTTGTAGTCCTGGTTGGCCTAGAACTCATAAAATAGTTGAAGCTAGCCTCGGATTCACAGAGATCTGCCTATCTCTGACTCCTGAGTATTGAGATTAAAGGCCCATGCCACCATGTCAGGCTGGTTTTTGTTTTTTATTTTTTATGTGTGTGTGTGTGTATGTGTTCAGGTACTCTCCAAGTCCGGAAGAGTGATGATGTAAGTCAGAAAACAATCCAACACCAGTTCAG